TGACTTTGTGTCACTGACATCCCCATTGACACCAATACAATACAGCAATCAGTGCTAATAAAAAGCACTGACACTGTACTAATGGCACTGGGGCGATCATGAAGAGAGTTACACTGCTTTGCATGTCTGTTCTGTGTGCAGCCATCCAAAGCAGTGTGCAGGAGCTGACAGGGAGGAGAAATGTTTTATTTACTAACAGTTCTAACCCCAAACCAACCCCCCCCCCCCCCCCCCAGTGGTACAGGGTGAATCGCGTGATTTTTAATTTTCGGGTAGGGGGCGCACGCGGGTGAGCACTACCCGCGCCGTCATTCTTAGGCGCGGCTGTCAATCAGTGGGCCTCGGCTGGTAATTACTCGTCGGCTGGTGATTTCTGATGATCACCAATGGGGAGGAGGACTGTTTTGTTTACTAACAGTCCTCCTCCCTATCAGCTTGGGCACACTGCTCTGGATGGCTGTGCACAGCATGTAAGCCAATTAATTTGCACGTATTGGGATTTCTTTTTTTTTACCAAACACATGTAGCAGAATACATTTTGGCGTAAATTTATGACCAAATTTGATTTTTTTTTTTTTTTTTTTTACTGGACTTGTTTAATAGCAAAAAGTCAAAATATTTTTTTTTTTTTCTCAATTGTTGGTCTTTTTTTTTTTTTTTTTCTTAATAGTGCAAAAAATAAAAATCGCACAGGCAATCAAATACCACAGAAAGAGAGCTCAATTTGTGGGGGAAAAAAAAAGGACGTAAAACACGACCACACAATTGTCAGTTAAAGTAACAAAATTGGCCTGGTCAGGAAGGGGGGTAAGTCCTCAGGAGGGCAAGTGGTTAATATAAAAGATTTATATCCCCCCTCCACCCTTCGTATCGCTTCATGTCTGACTCCCAGTTAAAAATACCCTTTATTTCCTACTTCTGGGTACATAAATTAACACCTTATAATAGTGATTATCTGCTATCTGTATTATAAAGGGCTAATTTTTGTATTTTTAACCCCATCATGACAGGCTATACAAAAAGCATGCTGCTGCTACTAAATGTCTTAGCGATTGCAGATGCAGGTAGTTTAATTCAGGCTACCTGCCTATCACAAGGGAGTCTGTCATGCATAGTATTATATTAGTCCTGTCTAAAAAATCTGCAGAACTGTGTTTTAGAACTTTTTTTAAAAAAAAAATGTTTCCCCTTTTGAATAAAAATTTTGATCTCAGTCTGATTTTTACCAGATTGAACCTCTAATGGTATATACAGTGGGCAAAATAAGTATTGAACACTCCACTATTTTTCTCAGTAAATATATTTCTAAAGGTGCTATTGACATGAAATTTTCATCACTTGATAACAACCCATGCAATCCATCCATACATACAAATAAACCAAAACAAATTAAATACAGAAATTAAGTTATGTATAATAAAAAGGAATGACTCAGGGAAAAAGTATTGAACACACAAAGAAAGGTAGGTACAAAAAGGCATTGAAAGCCAAGACACCAGCTGAAATCTCTCCGTTCTAAGAAAGCAGTCCTGCCCCTTGTCAGTGCAAATATCCGCTAGTTCAGTCTCAACTGATGGCCTATAAAAAGGTGTCTCAATACCAAGGTGTCACACAAGAAACAGCTTATGGTGGGTAAAAGCAAAGAGCTCTCTCAAGACCTAAAGTTTGCTGCACAACATTTGGACAAGACTGTGAAATACTGGAATAATATAGTCTGATCAGATGAGACCAAAATTGAACTTTTTTGATTCCATAATACACACTGTTTGGACGTCAGATAGCACTGCACATCGCTGTTTGTATAGTGTTTTGGGGGGTGAAGTTTGGAGGTGGCAACATCATGGTGTGGGGCTGTTTTTTTAGAATGGAAAAATGTACCAAGACATTCTTGATAAAAATCTTCTGCCATCTACCAGGATGATGAAGATGAAACGAGGGTGAATATTTCAACAAGACAATGATCGCAAACACAAAGCCAAGGAAACTCTCTCAAATTGGTTTCAAAGAAACTAAAGCTACTAGAATGGCACAGCCAATCACCTGACTTGAATCCGGTAGAAAATCTATGGAAAGAAGTAAAGATTAGAATTCATAGAAGAGGCCCACGCAACCTTTAAGATTTGAAGACTGTATGGAAGAATGGGTCAAAATCACACCTGAGCAATGCATGCGACTAGTTTCTCCATACAGGAGGCATCTTGAAGCTGTCACTACCAAGTAATACTTTTCAGTTAGCGTGTTCAATACCTTTTTCTTTGTGTCATTCCATTTTTTTACAAATAACTTAATTTCAGAACTTATTTGTTTTGGTTTCTTTGTACGTATGGATTGCATGTATATACTTAGGAAATATGAATGTTGTCCTCTTGATGCCCTCAGCATGCATTTACGGTATGAAGTCACCATTTGCAGTAGAAAGGCTGTGGGGCTGCATAGTAAAGATCCTTGTATTGGGGATGAAGATTAGTATTTCACCTCATGGTATGGGTGGAACTTATTAAAGGAAAACTGTACAAAGGTATGGTTGTTCTAAAACTCGATGGAACAAACACGAAGAATGCTTGATACCCTTGTCTATGAACTGATAACTTGTATTATTGGGGGATATTTATCAAGCAAATTGGTGACCGAGTTAGTTGCAAAGTCTCTGACAGGTTTACAAACCTGTACATCTGTATTCTTGGGCCACCAAGTTTGACAGTTAGAAAAGTTCAAAGATAGATTTAAATGTATGTGAATTTTTTTTTATAACATTTTCATTCATTCAGTCACAGTGCGAGTTTACTATAGCCAACGGTGACATTTCTGAATTTGGTTGAAACATTACACAGGCATACCTCGGTTTACGAATTTAATTTGTTTTGCGGGACTTTTCGTATAGCGAAAAATTCATAAACCAAAAGCCGTTTCCCATAGGAATGCATTGAAAACCAATTAATCCGTTTCGGAGGTCAGAAAAAAGTAAATGCTACTAAAATACCACACAAGTTATTTTATCAAGTCATATGGTATTTTAGTAGTGACAATCCTGTGTTAATGTTTCAGCTGTCAGCGGGGTTAACCACTGACAGCTGAATGTAAAAGAGAGGATTGCCGGCAATTAAGAAAAAAAATGTAAAAAATGGCGTGGTGTCCCCCCTCCCATCCATACCAAGCACATTGAGTCTGGTATCTATTTTGAGGGGAACTCCCACGCCAAAATGAAAAAAAAAAGTGTGGGGGTCCCCCCCAAAAATCCATACCAGACCCTTATCTTAGCATGCAGGTCAGGAAAGGGGGGGGGGGGACGAGCGAACCATAGCAGGCCACATACCCCAAAGCAGCTTGTCCCCATGTTGATGGGGACAAGGGCCTCTTCCCCACAACCCTGGCTGGTGGTTGTGGGGGTCTGCGGGCAGGGGGCTTATCGGAATCTGGAAGCCCCTTTAACAAGGGGGCCCACAGATCCCGGCACCCCTCCCCCCATATGAGTATGGGGTACATGGTCCCACTACTCATTCACAAAAACCAGTGTGTAGTGTGAAAAAAAGACAGGACACGGTCTTTGACAAGTCCTTTATTAAAAGAAAAAAACTAAAAGTATGTCCCCCACAGTAGATCCAACGTCAATCCAGATGTCCGCCACTGACCGGAAAAAAGAATAAAGAAAAAAAGGCTCCGCTCCTGACGATGGCTCTTGGCCGTCTGCCTCTGAGCTGGCTTGACAGGTCTTAAATATGTAAGAGGCTAGGCCTCCCAGTGACATCATGCGTGTGGCCCCACCTCCTTGTGACATCATTGACCCAGCATGCTCCGTTTGATACCACAAGGAGGCGTGATTTCACTGGGTGGCCCCGCCCCCTACATGTTTAAGAGCAGGCAGACGGCCGGGAGCCAGCATTGGGAGCGGAGCCTTTTCTTTAAATTCTTTTTTCGGATCGGCGGACATCGTGATTGATTTTGGATTTACTTCAGGGTACATTCTTTTAGTTTTTTTTTTCCTTTAATAAAGGACTTGTCAAAGACCATGTCCTGTGTTTTTTTTCACACTACACTTTTTGTTTTTTGTGAATGAGTAGCAGCACCATGCACACCATACCCCTTCACATGGGGGGGGGGGCAGGGATCTGGGGGCCACCTTGTTAAAGGGGGTTTTCCAGATTCCGATAAGCGCCCTGCCTGCAGACCCCTACAACCACCGGCCAGGGTTGTGGGGAAAAGGCCCTTGTCTCCGTCAACATGGGGACAAGGTGCTTTGGGGTGCCCTGCCCCAAAGCACCCCCCTATGTTGAGGGCATGTGGCCTGGTAAGGTTTGGGGTGGGGCGCTTGCTCGTCTCTCCCACCCCTCCCCCTTTCCTGACCTGCCGGATTGCATGTTCGGATAAGGGTCTGGTATGGCTCTTGGGGGGCCTCCCACGCCGTTTTTTTTTTTTTTTTTTTTTTTTTTTTTAATTTTGGCGTGCAGTTTCCCCTCAAAACTTCTACCAGACCTAAAGGGCTTGGTATGAATGGAGGGGGGAACCCCACGATGTTGTTTATTATGGTGCCGGTTTTTAAATGTAATTACCACTTTTTTTTTTCTCTTTCTTTGCTATGGCTCCGGGATTCAGCTGTCACTTTCCCCCCAGCTAAAAGAAATAGTTTCCTTTTAGTTTATTTCCCCGAGTTAAAAGAAACCATGTTTCCTTTTAGTTTCTTAAAAGAAACAATTTCCTTTAACTCCGGGGAAAGCGACAGCTAATTCTGTGAGCTATAGTGAAGAAAAACCCCCCAAAAATTACGTTAACCGAGGCATTCGTAAACCTAGATACACCTGTAATAAATGTTTCATGATGCATCTTAATTATTATTATACAGTATTTATAACGCGCCGATAGTTCACTCAGCGCTGTACATTACAATCTTAATGTTCCTGTTTACCATTTCTTTGCGTCAAGATGATAAATATTACCAATTGTTTTTAGGTAATGGTTTGCCAAGTTGTTCTGCGTCTACCAAGGCTTTTATTTTTATGTTTTAGAGGTGTCTTGGTGAGGTTATCGGGCTGTAACCATCCTGTGGTGATGAAAGGCTTGTGTGCAGAATGTGGTCAGGACTTGACACAGTAAGTAAACTTTTCTTTGTCCTGTGTTCAGATTTTTCATTGTTGTTCATTTTATTTTAATTATGATATTTAAAAATATTTAGAAAATTGTGAAGTCACACTATAGAGAGATGTTTTCTAATTTTGTAGCAAGTCTGTGTAAAAGATTTGCCTTCTGCTGTAAGGTATATTGTTTTCTTTGATGTTTTTGTTTTTTTTTTTTTTTTTTTCCTCTAATTCAGACCATTTTCAGTGTATCTGCAACTGTCTATTATACCAGCTAATTGGCCGTTTGCATGGCTGTAAAAATCAAGCAGATATGACAACTATGCATCTGTGACAAGAACATATAAATCCTTGTACTACATACCAGCAGCTGCTCAACTTTAGTACTAGTACATTTTGAAAGTCCGTGCTATTTCCATCAGTTCTGTGGGTACTGAAGTTCGTCACCATTTCACGAGCGCAATCAAATTTTAAAGTGTGACATGTTGGATATCTGTTTACTCCTCGATTTTTTTTCTTTTTTTTTTTTTTTTTTTGTCCCCTAAAATTAACTTGTATTTTTTACTGAAATTTTGCGGTACTATCATGCGACATAAAAAAAATGGAACTACCAATATTTTATTCTCTAGGTTCTCTGCTTTCAGAAAATATATAATTTTTGGGGGCTTTTATGTAATCTTCAGGCCTAAAATTGTTTTTAAACGTGAAAAAAAAAAATGCAAAAAACGACTCTGGAAGAGAAAGGGATAAAGGAAAAGCAGCCAGTCATTGCTCATTACACTGCATGGTCTCTCTCCTCCCTGCTAGTGCCCGGTTGCGGTGCTGGAGACAGGCAGGGGAGAAGGAGATAAACCGTACAATGTTAAAATACTTACGCGTTTAAGCCGCCATAAAGCCGCTTTTGTTTTTAAAAGCTCTAGACATTCTAAAAATCACCTTGGATTTAAATACGGTTTACACTTTTTTTTTTTTTTTTTTTTTTTTTTTTTATATGTACTAGTAGATTGTCATGAGGAACAAGTAGATTGGGACACAGATTTAGTCCCTGGACAAGTAATTTTTGTCAATTTCCACACCCCTGATCCTGCCCCCCCTAGTGTTTAGCAGTAGGAGGGCATGGAGGAGGGAGGCAGGCAGGGGAGCGTCATTTACCACTGTGTATACATCCACATATGTAGCTCTATAGTCACGTGGGCTGCATGGATAAGAAAACTGAGGAAATTAAGAGCTTAGAAGGCACCTGAAACTAAGCATGATCAGTAGAGGACACCGGTTGGTCTACACCATCTGTCTGCAGTGAGGACACAGAGAAGGTGGGAGGGACAGCTGAAGGGCAGGATCAATTAGGTATATTTCACTTTACACAAAATGAATGCTTTATTTGCTTTGTGAGTATGCACACTCTGTTATGTAGCATGTAATAAGGTTTTTTTTTGTAGTTGAGGTTTAATAACACTTTAAGGTTTAGTGATTGCTAATAGTACACAAGGACAAGTTGCTTATGCATACTTTTTTTATCTCAATTTTGCCCAAAGTGGTATCATTTTTTTATCTTAAGGAGATCGAACCTCTTTGTCTGACCTTGTACACTCTGAGATTGCCTTGCATTCTTTTGATGTTGTCTTCTCTATCCCTTTCTGATTCCTAAAGACAAATTATTGCAATTGTGGAAGATCAACATAAAGTGGTTGTAGTGTCACCCTCTACCATTTCACAAGAGATCTGTCAGATCCTATCTTGGGCCTATGCCCTGCGACACAAGGATCCACATTTTCCTATTACAGCTCACTCTGCTAGAGCAGTCTGTGCTTCTTAGGTGTTTTGTGACCAGGCTTCAGTGCGATTGTTGTCTTCCTATATGTTTTCTGGATTCTGTAAGGTTGACTTGCTGGCATCTGTTGATGCCAGCTTTGGCTGCAAGGTTTGGACACGGTAGTGTAATCCTCTGAGGCTTAGAGCAGGTACTCCATGGTCTTTCATTTTCATTGATTAGCCACGCCTTTAGTAGGTGATACTTGTGGATATTGCACATGTTTTTTGGATAGCTTTATTGCTCAATCAACAAAATTTTGTACTTGCCATAAAATTATTTTTGTTGCCACTCATTTGAGAGATGGAGCTCCCACTGCCCTATTACTGGGTTGGTTGGGTGTGTTACCTTGTCCTGGAAGATAACTGAAGAAAAATACCAGTCACACTTACCAGTAACTGTGTTTCTAGAAAATCTTCCAGGACGGCAGGCCTACTTCCCACCCGTATTTTGTGTTTGAACAATTTGGGCAAAGTGCCCTACGTGCACTAGGATATAGTGATACTCTTACATAACTGAGGAGTGAGGGGAAGGGCTGGGAATTTAAACTCTGGTTTTTGATTGTGATTCCTGTCAGGTCAAGCTTGTCCTCTCAAGTGTGCCGTCCTGGAAGATTTTCTTGAAACACAGTTACCGGTAAGTGTAACTGGTGTTTTTTTTTATTTTTTCATTTAATATATGGACTCCTTAGTATCCTCCTGCAGGTGACAGTGTAAACCCACACATTTTATGGATAACAGCTGTGTCCCTTAATGTACTTGGCGAACAGAATTTTACAGTGAGTGCAAAAATTCCATTGTTTTGTGATTTTTATTTATTGCGGGTTTATTTAGAAATTGCAGTGTAAAATGGCCTTGTCAACTAAAGCTGCATATTTGTTCCACTATTGCCATCTAATTGATTTGTGCATTTGTAAGGAAAAGACAAAGGATAAAGTGAGAGTCTGTGTCACTTTATTTGGGGTGATGAATAGTAATGCAAAAAGTGGCTGTTTATAAATACGCACAAGTACTTCAATTGATAAGCTAGTGTTAAATTGTTACTAAACCCAGGACCCTGTATTCACTATATCTAGTCACCCACAGAACATGGAAATGCACTTATTTTAGTAAATACACTGCTCAAAAAAATTAAAGGAACACTTTTTAATCAGAGTATAGCACCAAGTCAGTTAACTGACCAGATCAATATCCCAGGAGTTTAAGTACCAGAGGGGGTTGTTAATCAGTTTCAGCTGCTTTGATGATAATGAAATTAACAGGTGCACTAGATGGACAACAATGAGACGACTCCCAAAACAGGAAGGGTTTTACAGGTGGAGGCCACTGACGTTTTTTTCCCTACTCATCTTTTCTGACTGTTTTTCACTAGTTTTGCATTTGGCTAGGGTCAGTGTCACTACTAGTAGCATGAGGCAATACCTGGACCCTACAGAGGTTGCACAGCAGTCCAACTCCTCCAGCATGGCACATAAATACATGCCATTGGTAGGTTTGCTGTGTCTCCCAGCACAGTCTCAAGAGCATGGAGGAGATTCCAGGAGACAGGCAGTTACTCTAGGAGACCTGGACAGGTCCGTAGAAGGTTCTTAACCCATCAGCAGGACCGGTATCGGCTCCTTTGTGCAAGGAGGAAGAGGATGAGCACTGCCAAAGCCCTACAAAATGACCTCCAGCAGGCCACTGGTGTGAATGTCTCTGACCAAACAATTAGAAACTGATTTCACGAGAATGGCCTGAAGGCCCAATGTCCTGTAGTGGGCCCTGTGCTCACAGCCTGGCACCATAGAGCTCGATTGGCATTTGCCATTGAACACCAGAATTGTCAGGTCCACTACTGGGGCCCTGTGCTTTTCACAGATGAGAGCAGGTTCACCCTGAGCACATATGGCAGACGTGAAAGGGTCTGGAGAAGCCATGGAGAACGTTATGCTGCCTGTCAAATTGTTCAGCATGACCGTTTTGGTGATGGGTCAGTGATGGTCTGGGGAGGCATATCCATGGAGGGACGCACAGACCTCTACAGGCTAGACAATGGCACCCTGACTGCCATTAGGTATTGGGATGAAATACTTGGACCCATTGTCAGACCCTATGCTGGTGCAGTGGGTCCTGGTTTCCTCCTAGTGCACGACAATGCCCAGCCTCATATGGCGAGAGTATGCAGGCAGTTCCCGGAGGATGAAGGAATTAATGCCATTGAATGGCCCCAAGCTCGCCTTGCCTAAATCCAATAGAACACCTCTGGAATATCATGTTTTGGCCATCCGACGCCACCAGGTTGCACCTTAGACTGTCCAGGAGCTCAGTAATGCCCTTGTCCAGATCTGGGAGGAAATGCCGCAAGACAACATCCGTCGTCTCATTAGAAGCATGCCCTGACGTTGTCAGGCATGCATACAAGGACGTGGGGGCCATAAAAACTACTGAGTACCATTTTGAATTGCTGCAATGATGAAGTCACGATGCACGTGACGCAACGCGTCGGTACTCCATTTCCGGTCACGAGGATTTTCTTTGTGTCTTATCTATATACTATTGAGTGGAGGTGGAGTGGAATAGAACACTGGGGGAGGAGTCTCCATTTACCCTGTGGTCCCTGGATGACCAGCATACTTATGAGGATCTGGTATACAGGAGATTAATAGCCTTTTGGCCCTGTGTGGGTCAGTGTGTGGAGGTGAGAAGGCACTGCTGCCATTTGAGGATTTATGCACTAGAAGTGAAGATCACCTTTTCACACAGTTTTCACTTGCATGGACTTGCTGTTATATATTGATTACTCACGGATTTTTTTTTTATATATTTGTGATTCACAGCTGTATGTTAATTTATTGAATAATTATTTAGATTGAATATTATTTATACACATGGCATAGTTGTTATCACTATTCACTTTAAGTTTGTGTATTCATTTCACTGTAAGGATACACTTATGTTTGAGTCATTTATCACAGAGCACTATTATGCAGTTATAAATGGCACTATAGTATGAATTTATTTAGTTATTTTTAGTGCTTCACTAATTTATGTATGCATTTTTTCATTTTGATTTTCAGGGTATCTTTGAATTCAGTCCTCTGTAGGTTAGTAATTTTCATTTCCATCAAATGATGGGACATCTTTACATTCCTAACACATTAGTCCATATCAGTATAGAGATCCAGCATGATATTTTTCCCCATTGAGATTTGATTTGTTTTCAAAATGTTCCTTTAATTTTTTTTGAGCAGTGTATAAACTGCTAAACATCTTTTCTCATCAACAGTTTGATCAGTCTTTGACTTCTGTCAGTGTCCAGCAGAGCACTGGTTAAAGCATTATTTCTCCTGTAGGAGGATGCAGGACCTCTGACCTCTGTCTGGACAGTGCTGAGTGGCCCTGTGCTGATCAAATGCACTTGGTCAGTTCCTGCTGAAACTGCCGAGATTTGAACATGGCCAGCTTAAGCAAAGGCAGGTCACCTGATGGGTTTCTGCAAATCACTTTGGCAACTGTTTTTGTGGTAAGCTCTGTGCTTTTTGCAACAGTGCTGGATGTTAGAAAAAATTGTTTTATAGCTGGTTTGGAATCAAATGTACTGAAAAATAAAGGCCCTGTTTTGTAGCAGTATGTCGGATATTGACAATATAGAGCTGAGGCGTTTCTTATGTTTTTGCATGCACTTTATTTGGAAACGTTGGTCCCCTACTAAGTCTCTCATTTATTTAGGATACAAAACAAGAATGGAAAGCAGCAGGTGCCATTGTCAACAGCTACTGTTTCCATGGTTCACAGCGTCCCAGAACTCATGGTCAGCTCAGAGGTAAGCTGCACTACTCTAATTAAAATGTTAAAGTCTACAAAGCAGTAAAGGGGAGCTATCTTTTTTGGGTCAATTGTACAACCCTAATTTAAAAAAAAAAAGTTGGGGTGCTGTGTAAAATCTTCATAAAAACAGAATGCATTGCTATGCAAATCTCAAACTGATATTATAGTCACAGTAGAAAATAGAAAACATATCAAATGTTTAGATGTTAAACTACCATTTTTAAGAAAAAAAATAAGGTAGCAATATGGCAGCAACATGTCTTAAAGAAGTTGGGAAAGATCCATGTTTACCATGGTGTAACATTCCCTCCTCTTTTAACAACACTTTGTAAACATCTTGGAACTGAAGAGACCAATTGCTGGAGTTTTGTCCCATTCTTGCCTGATATAGGATTCTAATTGTTCAACAGTCCTGTGGAGTGTTTTGTCATTTTTTGTTTCAAGATGTGACACATATTTTCAATTGGTGAAAGGTTTGGATTGCAGGCAGGCCAGTTATGCACCAGGACTTTTGGACTTTTCCACTACAAAGCCAAGCTGTTGTCAGAGATTGTTTAGCAGTGTCCTGCTGGAATCTGCGAGGCCTTCACTGAAAAAGATGTCATCTTGAAGGGCACATATGCTCTCTAAAACCTGGCAATAACATTGATGGTGCCTTTCCAGATGTGCAAGTTGCCCATTCCATATACACTAATGCACTCTCATACCATCAGAGATGTATGCTTTTCAACTGAGCGCTGATAACCCAGAAGGTCCCTCTCCTCTTTAGTCTAGAGGATGTAGTGCCCAGGGTTGCGAAAAAAAAAAAAATTAAATTTTGGTTTGTGTGACTACAGAACAGTTTTTCACTTTGCAACAGACCATTTAAAATGATCTTTGACCCAGAGAAGACGGCTGAGTTTCTGGATCATGTTCAGATATGGCTTCTTCTTTGCATGATAGAGCTTTACCGTGCATTTTTGGATGGCATGACAAACTGTGTTCACAGACAGTGATATTTGGAAGTATTCCCGAGCCCATGCAGTTTATGTCCATCACTGATGCCCATTTTTAATGCAGTGCCAACTTTGGGCCAAAGACATGGGCATCCAATTGCATTTCGGTCTTGTTTTTTGAGTGCAGAGATTTCTCCATATCCTCAGAACCATTTAATGGGTTGGTGTACTGTTACGGATGATATATTTAAAGTCTTTACAATTGTACGTTGAGGAACATTATTCTGATATCGTTTGTCTAGATGCAACTTTTCACAGATTGGTGAACCTCTGCCCATCTTTGAGACACTCTGTCCAATGCTCTTTTTATACCCAATCATGTTACTGACCTGTTTCCAATTAAAATACTTGCAAAATTTTCTTCCAGCTCTTTGTTAGTACCTCTTATTTTGCCAGCTTTTTGTTGCCCTGTCCCAACTTTTTTGAGATGTGTTGTTGCCATCAGTTTCAAAATTACCTTATATTTTGTTCTTAAAATGGTACATTTTCTCAAACGTTCTATTGAAAATAAAATAGAAGTTCTTGAGATTTGCAAATCATTGCATTTTGTTTTAATGTAGCTTTTACACAGTGTCCCAACTTTTTGGGAATTGGGGTTGTATTTCTTTAACAGAGAAACATGGCCAGTTTATTTTTTTTTGGCTGTGCTTTTCTTGGCAGTCAGAAGAATACATTTTACTTTTGTCCTCCTGTGACCCAGAGTCAGCTGGTAGTGGGCAACTGACAGGGCAGAACCGTGTCAGGCTCAGGAAGGATCCTGACTCACCTGACTTCCTTGATTTGATAGGTGGCTCTGCTTTTTAATGCAGAGCTGAGAGCTTTGTTTTTGTAGAGCGAGCACATCATAATTATAGGATTTATAAACTTACTAATTAAAAATGTTAAACAAGTGACCAAAAACCATTATTGTTATCCTTTTAGTCAGCATTTGGTAATGGTCATAATTTGCCTGATTAACACTTTACATTTCAACAAATTACGTGTCTGTGTGTATTTTTAGATTTAATTTTTTTTTTTCTTTTAGCAAGCAGAACAGCTAGGTCGTGAAGACCAGCAGAGATTACATCGAAATAGGAAACTTGTTCTCATGGTTGACCTAGACCAGACATTAATCCATACCACAGAACAGCACTGCCAACATATGTCTAGAAAGGTAAAAGGTGTTTTTTTTTTTTTTTTTTTTTTTTTTTTTTCAATGGCATTTACAGTCTACAGGGGTTAGACAAAAAATGTAAACACTACATGATTTGCAGGTGTGAAAGTGACATCATGTTTCGCATAGAAAGTGTAAGTGATGTAACTTTTTTTGCTTCCACTGTGTGATGAGACTCCTAGCTAACAGGTGGGAAGCCTCACCTAGCTAACAGGTGGGAAGCATCAATTTCGTCATTCATTGTGTGCACTGCTAGTAATACTGTCATGTTAGAGCTTACTGAGCTTCAAAAAAGGGCAAATTGTTGGTGCTTGCTTAGCTGTTGCCTCTGGGACTGAAGTTGCCAATTTATTTGCTGTGTCACCGGATACAGTATCAAAGGTTATGGAAGCATATACTGTTTCTGGGAAAACGTCATCTGGTAAGCATAAGTGATGTCAACATGGTCACCTGTCCGGAAAAGACAAAAGGACATTGCGCTGGATTGTGACCCCAGAATAAGAAAACAATTGCTGCAACAGTGACTGCAGAGCTCAATCTCAGTCTTCATGGCATCACTAGTGGGTAGGGTGAGTTTTGTATCTTACAGAAAAAATGTACTAAGGACACTGATGCAACAAAAGTCTCTCAAAAAAACTGCTGGAATATTTCTATTTTTAACTGTCTTATTACGAAAGCATCATAATATTTATGGGAGCTGCAAAAAAAAAAGGGCACCACAGAGGTGTGGTTCTTCTTACAGTAAGATTTGTGAAGACTGGCTGTTTAGATATTCTTTATACAGTATTATTAAACCCCCCTCCTTGTCTGTACATGTATCACTACCTCCCCCTCTTCCCTCCTTATAGAATCCTATTTATTATTGTAAAAAAAAAAAAAAAAAATGTATTAAGCTCTTGGTAAATACAACAATGCACAATGTTAAACCTAAGGATCATCCACTGGAAGAGCTCGGCAGAAAATATACTATAAGCAAAATAATCGCAATTAAACCAAACCCTCCAAAAATACAGTGTCAATAAAGAATAACTTTTTCAAACCAGATTAGAAGGGATGAGGGAGCAGGAGGGAGAAGGAAGGGGAGAAAAAGGGATATTTTGGATAGTTCCCATATGGTGCAATGGTGCAGATCAAAAGTCAGACGTCAGAAATCAAAGTCATTACAATTAAAAAGAGGCCACATATAGATCAACCCTGATCTGTGAAACCCAGAGACAAATCAATCAATAAGAACAATCGTAGACTGTTCAGATAATACTGAAAAACCAAAAGGGCGTCAGACCATTATCTGTGAGTAGTTTGGAATACTGGAAAATAAGCCAATCGGACCACATTTTTATGAAATTTTTTAGTTGTTTTTTTTAGCAATAACTACTGTTTCTTCCACATGAATAGTGTGTCTTCCACTACCTGTAGCCATTCAACAATTGTAGGGGTTCGTGTAGATTTCCAGTCTCTTGAAATTAAGTCTTGGCGGCATTTAGGAGGTGTCTAGTGAGGAACCATTTGTATCTTTTCATAGAGCAATTGGCTACATGGACAGCAGGCTGGTTTGAGTGCGAGTTTGATGCCGGTAATATGGACAATCGGCTCACATATTTTCTGCCAAAAGGGCGTTATCGGTGGACATTCCCATCAAATGTGTAACATGCTTCCTTTGGCCTGGGCGCTTCTCCAACAGCGATCGGAGGACAGCAATTACCACAGTTTCAGTTTTACTGCAGTTAGTAAGTACTTTATAGGATGTTTCTAGTACTCTAGTACTAATTGAGCATTTATGTGCAAAGACAAACTCGCTCCCATTTTTTGTCTGTAAGGTTTATTTGAAGAGCATTCTCCTACTGCGTCCGATCCTTGTGGAGTCGTTATTGAAACCAAGAGTAAATGAGTGATGTGGTTCTACCTATAGGATCCATCTTAAAATATATAAGGATTTAAAAGGAGTAAGAGACCTAAAAAAAATATTTTTTTGAATAGAAGCAGAAACATAATTATGCAGTTGGTGATAGGTCAAGAAAGAGGATGCTGTTGTCCTAGTTCCAACTCCACAGCTTCGGAGGATTTTAGCTTATTCTTAGATATACAATGCGTTATCAAAAGAAGAGTAGTTTAATCTTTTGGCGGTATAGTATAGGATTCCAAACCCGGAGGGAAATCTGGGTTCTGTGCGATCGGGGTAAGAGGGCCTGGAGAAGAAGAGATATCATATTCCTTATTTACTCTATGAAAAACATCTACTGTAGCCTTTAAAAGAGGATGTTGCTGGATATGGTGTGTATATTTCCTTTTTGGATCCATGGTAAGTGAGCCAGGGGTAAAGGGGTCATTGCCTCCTCCAATGTCACCCAGTCTTTACTTTTGGAGTGTAAGTTAGTTTTTCGGATTCTAGCTAAATGTGTAGCATAATGGTAGAATTTGAAATTGGGTAAACCTAGCCCCCCTTTAGGTTTGGGCTTAGGACATTAAGATTAGTACATGGTCTCCATCCCATCCAAATAAAATCTCGAAGCCATGAAGTTGTTTGAAAAACTGGAAGGGAGAGCAATAGCAAGTTATGAAAATGGTTAAGTATTCTTGGTTGTTTGATTACCGCTCGTCCAAACCATGAAAAGGCTTGAACGACCACTGTCAAGTTGTCTGAACCAAATAATGGTTTGATTGATAGATATTTGTTATTTTAGAGGTGAGACGGATGCCTAAGTAATTCTGCCGAATGGGTTACCATTTGAAGGAGTAGTTAGAACGAGTCAATTGGAGTGTATCCGGGGTGAGGGCAAGATTAAGGGCCTCAGATGTGGTATACTTAATTTTAAGATTAGAAATTAATCCAAAATATTGAAAGCCTTAATGAGGTTTGGGATAGATAAATGGGGTTGGGTTAAGAAAAAAAAGGTTCTGCATATTACTGGCACCAAACTCGCTCACACCAGCCTGCTGGCCTCTCCATGTAGCCAATTGCTCTATGAAAAGATACAAACGGTTCCTCACTAGACACCACCTAAATGCCGCCAAGACTTAATTCCAAGAGACTGGAAATCTACACGAACCCCTACAATTGCATAAGCTGCAATTTTATAGATTTTAAGGCCTATCGCAAAACCTCCAATAGAAGGGTTATTGTTGATCGTGCAAATTAAAGGTTCTAAGGTTAAAATAAACAGGAGAGGTCAAAGGGGATAGCCTTCGCTAGTACCGTTGTGAATGTGAACTACATCAGAAAGAGTGCCGTTTACCTTGAGTATCGCTTGGGGATTGTGATATATAGCCGATATCCATGATAGCTTGTGTGGTTTCAAACCAATATACCTGCAAGTAGCCATCATGTAGACCTAAGCGACCCAGTCAAAGGCCTTTTCCACGTCAGTCGACAACAGAAGGCCCTCGAGTCCCTTGGAATGAGCGTGGTGGATTAAATTAAGGGCCTTTGTTATGTTGTCCCGGGCTTCTCTCCCTGGCATAATGCCCACCTGCTCTACACCAATCAGTTTTGGCAGAAAGGTCTGTAACCGTGTAGCCAAAATTTTTGCCAGCAATTTCAGGTCTGTATTCAGTATGAATATCGGTCTATAATTGGAGTAATCAGTTGGGTCTTTAGCAAGTTTGGGTATCGGGGCGATGTGAGCCAAGGTAAAGGAGTCAGGGACTGGTTGTGGGTCTATTAGATGGTCCAGGGCATGTAAAAGGGGGGGTCTTGATTAATTCTGCAAATGTCCTATAGTAAAGAGTGGTAAAACCATCCGGACCTGGGCTTTTTCCTGGTTTCAAATTTTTAATTGCAATTAAGAGTTATTCTGTTATTATAGGGCTATCTAGTGATTCTGCTTCTTTGGAGGTTAAGATTGGTAGACTATTAAATATCTTGTAGATATTGTGATAAAATCTGTGCTCTATCCCCTATTGTGTCGACTGGTTTATGTGAAGAAGTTAAATTATAAAGTGTAGTGTGGAAATCATGAAAAATTGCTGCTATCTGATCTGAATTATGCACAGGATTTCCTTCCGGATTTTTGATTGATAAAATGGATGAGTTCTATTCTAAGAACTTCAAAGCTCTTGCAAGAAATTTGCCACTCTTATCCCTATGTTCGTAATAAAACTCTTTTTTTTAAAAGAAAAGGATATGTTTGGCTTTAAGGTATAGCAAGAATAGTAATTGTCGGATAGCGGACAATTCAGTGGCCAACAATTCAACTCTTGACTGTTTATTTTGTGCTTCAAGGGTTGCAATTTTCTCTACAAGAGATCTGATATGTTCAGATGCTTCTTTCTTCTTCTGGGACCCTAGGAGTATAAAACTCCCTACGTAATACGCATGTATGAGCCTCCCACACTGTCAGAGAAGACATTTAGTTGGAAATAGGACTGTATGGTTTCAGTAATTTGTTGAAGGGTAGAAGGATCCGTCAAAAGAGTGGGATTGAGACACCAGTTGCTTAATTTATGTGAGGGAGTGTTAAATTCCAACGACTGACATCGGGGAGTGGTCAGAGGAGGTTTGTATCCCTATGTCTGCAGACTGAAGTGTGAATCACGTTGTGTAATGAAGACATAGTCCATACAGGAGTGTTTTTTATGAAGTGCCGAATAAAAGGTGTAGTCTGTGCCTGTGGGGTGCACCACTCGCCATGAATCCACTAAGGTGAGAGAGTTCAGCAAAAAAAATGTTCAAAATTTTATAGGCTTCTACTAGACTTATGCTTAGATGTGTCTTGTGTGGGGTGTAGAGGTATGTTAAAATCACCACCTAATAGAATACATCCAATGGCAAACCCTTCTGGAATAAGTGGTCTACAAAAGGCGAGGTGCCCAGTATTTGGGTAGTAGAGGTTTGCAGCGTCACTGGGGTATTTCACCACTTACCCTTCAAAAAGATTAGTCTACCCTGGGGATTTATGAGTTGTTGTTCTAATTCAAACACTGTATGCTTATGTGTAAGTATTGACACGCCTTTTAGATTTTTGTACCATGTTTGGTGCATGGTACACCTTCAGAAAGTGTCT